CAGAAACTATGTACTTCTCCTAATATGTATTGATAATAAGATCCAATAGTTCGGTCAATACCTGGTGGAATAGTCGAGATGTGCACAAGCTCAGAGACGGATCTAGGATTTTAAGTTTTTGGGTTCCTACAGCTATCTCAAATTAACAGCAAATACCTGGTGGAATAGTCGAGATGTGCACAAGCTCAGAGACGGATCCAGGATTTTAAGTTTATGGGTTTCTACATCTATCTCAAGTTAATATACAATAATAATGGAACCAATGGATTAGATTCCAAGCTAAATATTCTTACACAGTTAATGAATTTTTAATACAAATTCTAGGGTTGAAGCAAAAGTTATTGGGTTCACGTGAAGCCGTAACTATTACACCAGAACCGCCCCTACACAAGCTGGCCTAAACACACAACCGTCATAAAAAGTTTTTAATAATTAGATATCTTTAGAATCCATCAAAACTCCGAACCCCAAAGTTTAGCGTGTGTGGGCGAGATAGTATAGTTCGACTTGGTTATCTATATGGACGGCCATAAGATGGATAGGGCGGCTAGGGAATACCTGTCAGAATTGTAAGAGGCCTACCTTTATATGACCTTATGCCGAACATAAGAGGTTCCTAGGAAGATTGATGATGACAGTTTAGTGATCTATTTTGATGTGGTAGCATGGTTGCAAATCACCAACCATTACTTATATGTCAGTAACTAAAAGATACGTCAAAAATCTCAATCTAACGAGATGCTATTGACAGTACTCAAGCTATTACAGTACAGGCTAACAGTATGAAAGGATAATGAAAAGTAAACTTAAAAGCCGTCGCAGTAAATTAGTTATCCATCTCCAGTATTAAGATCAGCATCGTCATCAGAACATTTTTAATTTCTTCTTCGCATTGGCAGTTGGTGAACTCCAAGCTAAGGCTACCCTACAAAAAATTAGTGGTATTGTGTTTTAATCCTTCACTGGCTTTACTGAAGATGCAGACGAAAATAATGACTAAAACGGGAAAAACAGGTTTTTCATCACCTAGATCGAGTGTTATCCCATTTTGTATTTTAATTGGCCTAGCGTATAACTGAATACATTATTGAATTTACCAATAAACATGTAACTGAATGCCAATACATCTGCCAGATATTATCATATTACTATGTTCTTGATTGGTGTTGCTTTTGTACTAGGGTTTGGTTCTTCTCTATCTTTCCTTCTATTACAATTTTCATGTCTCATTGAACAGCTAGTCGTTCACAAGTGCAATGAATGTGGACAAGCTTTACCTGAAAGTTTTGAGCCTCCTGCAGATGAGCCTTGGACAAGTGGGATTTTTGGATGTGCGGAGGACAAAGATAGTTGTACGAGTTCTTCCTTATGTTATGTACATAAAGCTTGTAATCACTTGCATATGCTCCTCATTACACTGTCTAAATAATTTGCAAAAGACATTGTTACGTATGAGCTGCTCGTCTCCAGATTTTTCCTTGCTCCACTTTGGTTTGATCTTTGTGTTTCTCTATATGGTAACAGTGTTTGAAAAAGAGCACTTTCATTGCAGCTATTTCACCAAAAACTTAACAAAATTGTTTTAGTTTCTCTTTTCACATTCTTTTTTAAAAAATATATGTGAAAGAAGCTCATGCTACTACTCTATCATTTTGGGAGGACTTACAGGTTACATCCCTCAGAGTAAGCTAATTAAGGAGTCATTTATATACATTATTTAATAGAGACTGAGGTCCGCTTGTCTAAATTAAGTCAATACTGCTCTTTATCATTTTCATATTTTTATTAACCCATATCCTGTTGTGGCAAAAAGCACTTGAAATATAGTCTCTCTGTTACAATTTAGACCTCTTTGTTCTTAACCAATTGTCCAATTGTGTAACCGGCATCTCATCATTCAGAAACTTAAGAGGGGACATAAATTAGTCTCTCGTTGCAGTTTGGAAGAATAAGCTCTCTATACGTCAAGTATTATTGATAAACAAATATTCATCCTTATTTAATTTGTTAAAAAAAAACTCCTAACACTATTTTAGCTCAACTCTGGTTTTATTTCTGGGATCGTTCCATCTCAGTAAAAAAACTTTTTATCATAGTCTTGGCTGAGGATTGTGCACTTTATGCCAGTCAGTGTGCAGCTCTTGCTTCTTTTAACACACTGGTTTTATCTTACCTTTATAGGCTGGACGGGACTTTTCTGCCCGTGCATCTTGTTTGGCCGTAATGTCGAGAGCCTGAGAGAAGATACTCCTTGGTCTACCCCTTGTGTTTGTCATGCCATTTTTGTCGAGGGTGGCATTGCTTGTGCAGCCGCAACAGCAGCATTTCATGGTATTGATCCAAGTACGTCGTTCCTCATTGGTGAAGGCTTATTATTTGGTTGGTGGATGTGTGGAATATATACTGGCCTTTTCCGGCAGTCACTGCAGAAGAAGTATCATCTCAAGGTAACTTCATTTCATATGTGGTTATGCATAATTTTAATTAGGATCAAATTCTATGTCCTTGATCAATTTCTCACTGTGTTCTTGAAAGTCCTGCAAATTTTGAGGGTTAAAAAGTTGCTATCCTAGAATTCGATCTATCTAGAGTACAGTGATCATCTTAAACACCAGTCGCAAGAAGCTTTGGAGTATACTGTTTATTGAATTAGCTGAGTTTTGGTGTGTTAAAGAAATGGATATTGGGCCTAACTCAACCCGAAAAGTTAGCTCAAGAGGCGATTCCCCAAAACCATATAAGGAGACCAATGGCTCCATCCCCATCCGATGTAGGAATATCAACACCCCCACCCCCGTCTCGCACGCCGTGGACATCTGGAGCATGGATAATGTAAGATGGGGGAATATCAACAGCGTGCTTTTACTGTACAATGCAGTCTTATCTCTATCTGTCCCAAATTAACTGCTGGGAGATGATAGTGAGACTTCAGCACCCTAAGAAGTGTGTAACCTAGCGATTAAGGAAACTGGAATGAACCATGGTAGACTAGGGTTCAAATCACGGCAGGGCAAAAAAAATGCTAGGTGGTTTTTCCCATTTGTCTAAACCTTGTTGGACAGAGGTACTCGGAATTTGTACTGGTGGGAGGTAGTAGTTAGCATTTAGCAGGTACCCTGGATTATGCACATAAGCTAGGTTACAACAACCGGGTATAAAATAATTAAAAAGGAGATTAGAGTGAGACTAAACGTTTGTTTGCTAATATTGCAACTTTCTCAATGATGCAGAATTCTCCGTGTGATCCTTGCATGGTGCATTGCTGCTTGCACTGGTGTGCCTTGTGCCAGGAGCATAGAGAGATGAAAAGCCGTCTGTCAGATAACGCTGCTATGCCAATGACAATAGTCAATCCTCCCCCTGTCCAGGAGATGAATGCTGCTCGTGACAACCGTGAATCTGTACCTTCCTCAGCAAATAGCACCGAACAAACCAACCTCGAGATGCAAGCTCTATGAAAACTAAAAATCAATTTACTATATCAGATTTGCTGCTCAAAGAGTTCGCGTGAGTGTGTCCTTCGAGCTAAGTTATACAAGAAAAGATGGTCATTGTTTTAGAGGAAAATAGCTCTTCAACTTCTTGTTGTGATGAAATTGGCATTTTTTGGTGCACAGGTTCGGCCAATTATGTATTGAACTGCAAATGAGTAGCGGCATTTGCACTCTAGTGCACTCTTTTGTTTTGAGTGTTTCAGAACTCCATTAAATTTATTTAGAGTAAAAGGTAAAAAGACTAACCCATAATAAAAAGATATTGTATTCTGCTTTCTAGTTTCTATAGTACATTCATTTCATGTATTTTTTTCTATATCGCTGCTCTCCCTCTCACCAGTGGCGGACCGCCAAGTGGGTTCAAAAAAAGGAAAAGGTTGTAGCTAGTGAGAATAGAACCGATGACCTTACAAAGGTTTTGAACCCCCTGACCACTAAGCTATGCTTTTGGGCTGTGTCAAGGGGATTCAAAACATAATAATAAAAAGCAGATTTTGCTTTACATATACAGTGTACTTTTTCGGCGAAGGGGTTTCGGGTGAACACCCTTCCGCCCCTAAATCCGCCCTTGCCTCTTACCCCAACCAATGAGATAAAAAAGGGATCTCCTTGAAACTATTCTTCTTTGGCTTGCAACTTTGGTGGTGTATATGACTTCTCCTCCATTTTTCATGTGTATGTTTGAAGTTTGTACCAGATAACTATTAAAATAAAGTTTGTACTGAAGTTGATATTGCAAACTATTATCTTTACTTTTAGAACGCAAAGTGTCATACTATTTAACATTACTATAAAATCAAAGTGAGCTAAATGCACCTTGTTGAAGTTGCAATAGCATGTCATAAGCACGATTTCAATATCACAAAGGTACATTTACTTCCGCAAATGATATTTCGCGCAAAAGTAAATTGGCCCAAACTAATATGTTATGGCTCAATAGCAATATAGGTCGACCTAAGACTCAAAATTTTTGACAATGATGTTTATGTCCTTATGAAAATCTACCTACGAGAAAATTTTACTATGTTAAAAAGAACAATAGTTAAAATCTAAAACAATGATCCAAATCCTATCATCCAATGTATTGTCTCTTTGTTTGACTCTTTGTTAAATATACTGCTATCGCTTGTCTTACCGTCAGAATGGGGTAGAGTCCTTAGCTCATATGCTTGATATTACTATAACCACAGTCTTCGTTTTAGTGAGAACATGAAACGGAAACCGAAGTACCATCTTTCCAAAACATATCTTCTACGGGTAGGGCAAAACATCTCCATCCTTTTCGTTTGATGTAATATCCAAAGAATATGCATCGAAGAACATTCGACTCTATTTTCTCTCTTCTCAACTCCCCAAAATGATTTAGGTTTGCATGATACTTTCACATAGCAAATGTCGAAACGTGCTAAAAGACTACTTATATACATAGGACAGTGTGAGCTTGGCTTTGTTCTAGGGGACTTGGAAAAACCAATGGTACCTCAATAAGAAAATTGGAAACAAGACTAAACATAGAACACATTAAATTTATAAACTCACCTTCTAGTTTTACATTTCACTAGAATTTCTAATGGTAGTAGGTTAACTTCCATAAAGTGTATTTAACTGTGAATTATTTAGGACATGTTAAGCCAAAGATTAGTAAAACAAGACCGCTTTTACTAGCGAACTCTTCTTCATGCCCACCTGAAATCCCCAAAATAATCATCTCCCACAAAAAGAAAATGCAAAACCAATCACGCACGAGGAGCCGCCATTTGCTGCTTCTTTACCCTCTCATCCTGCTTCACCATACTGAATACAAAAGAATGTTTGATGGATCAACATTGCAACCAATTCAAAGTAAAGAGATAAATAAATGCTTGCTATATTACAGTGATGCATCCACTCCAACCAGTATAGGAAAATAACAATTATCCCACTCTTTTTCAACTTTTCCTTTTTCAAAAAGACGCACTTAGTCAGACGAAAGTTTTTATGCTGACTGATGACAAAAAGGAAAATCTTTTAGATTGGGCTTGATAATAAACCAGTATTATAAAAAGAACTAACTTTACTAGACTCCGAAGGGAGAACGGAAAAATTGAAGAGACATATACTCATTATACATGTTTCAAATAAGTCAAATTAAGCAAGCAGTATACCGAAGGCAAAGCAAAGACTCAGGCTGCTGGATTAATAGACAATATTTATCCATGCTTTCATTACCTGATGTCATGAGGGGTAATAAATATCCACTGTGATCCTTGTGCCAATGCAAAATCCACGATAGCATCTAGACTGATTTTTCTGCTAACGGCATCCTGTACATTAATGGAAAGTTAAAGATTGCAACCAATAGACTGTTTCTCTACGATGTAAAGTGCAACTAAACATGTTCCCATGTAATCCACTAGAATAAGGATTTATAGATGCATAACCGATTAGTAAATTTAAACAAATAGAATGCCCGTCTTGTGCACGATTAGGAACAAATGATTGTAAACCAGTCCTCCATTACAATAGTTCACCCCCACCATGATTGCACCAAAAGATCCATCCATCCTCATATACATGAGGGTGCCATTAATTGATGAGGATATGATCTACATAAGAACACTTTAAAGTCTCACAATCCTTTAGCAGCATCTGCATTACTCCATTTGAGCCATATTCATTATTATCAGAATAATATAAATATTCATAATCATCCATCCATTGTGATCCCTGACGATATATGGAAGTTATCGTGGACAAACTGTGAATAGTTAAAAGACATCTAAGTGCTTTCATTCATTTATCTGACAGAGAAAGAGACTTCTTATTAACCTTTTTTAAATGAAGAGTCAGCAATTTCATGGTTTAGATGTCAATAAAAGTAACAAATATCCAGAACACCAATTTGTGTCCTAACTGTGACTTAGCTTTGAAGAGATATGGTTATGAATATTATGCCATTTCTACCATCTGAACATTACAGGCAACAAGTAGTCGGAGATATTCACTAGCTGACAGTAAATTCCTTCAGCTTTCAACATAGCTTATTGAGTTCCTTCTTCTGACGAAGCTCTTTATCCCTTAGGCTTCATTCACTGCCCTCCATCAAAATCGTAATTAATGTATCTATCAACAACATACACCAGATGTGTATGTACTTGTCATGCCCAACTCTATGTTTCTTTTGAGCCTGGAGCGAGGTAGGAAAATAGGTTTATTACACTGATGATGGCTTTTGTATTGAACATGGAGACTACCAACAAAGGACAGACCCGCTCTGGCATCGTGCTTGTATACTGCAATTGCCCTTGAAGGCCAGTTGCATTCTCTAAGTCATTTGGATCTCTATTTGGAGGCTTTAGAAGAAGACTAACAAAAGGTGAAGTAAATGACAACGCAAAAGATGATGGCGCGAAATTTGACAATTAGAAGCATATTTCAGATTCCGGTTAATTTGAAGTTGAAAGCACAAATGTGTAGAACAAGTTGATGTCCATTAAAACATCTGTTAGTTTCAACGAGCGAGGGGCTAAAATTGCACATTTTTCTTAATTAAACATCAAAATGTGCTCAAGTGAATAATACAGGCTAAACCGGAATAAAGCAGTAACTAAGAACCAAAACTGCAATTTCTCCAAATTAAAAAAAAAGGGGGGGTATTTCCTAATTAGTAAGAAAAGAAGCCATGTTGCAAAACTCACCATAAATACATCAAATTCATCCATTGCTCTAAACGGAGCTTCAGTCATCTCATGAAGAGCAAGTGCAAAGCACAAAGTTGAGAAAGAACGTTCTCCCCCTGATTTTACATCAGAACAAAAGCAAAATAGTTTCACATCGGATCTAAATAACCAGGATACTCAACGAAGGCATCGAGTCCATAACTCCATATCCCTACGGAAAGAACAAAAATAACAAACGCTGCAAGAGGAATGAAATTAATAGAATAAACGTATGTCTCAGTAATGTTTTAGCTATTATTTTATTTTAAAATTCCAACAGGCAGAAACTAACGACTGGCAGGGTAAACGGAGATTTAAACACGGTAACGTTTTTTTTTTTGATGAAGTAAGGAAATTTCATTAAATGGCATCAAGAAGATGCATAGCAAAAATTACAACATAAAGGTATTTGTCTGCTCATATACAAAAACTTACAGGACAACTAAGGAGCAGACAAAATCCAGAAATAGTTCAACACTAGTTATAGGGGCTTGATTGAACCAACTAAATAAGTTAATTAAACAGTGGCTTTAAGAGTGTGGTTGGGAGTTGAAATCCCATCAAAACATCTACGGTTCCTTTCATTCCAAAAACTCCAAAAAATAGCACCAGGTACCATTGACCAAGTCCAAATACTCTATCTACGGTTACTAGTTCGTTACTGTAAATAGTGACACTGCTAGTAACATAGCAGGAACTGAAATTTACATTCTGACAGTAACCTTCTGGCATATCTTCTGCTATGAAACTCCTATTCATTTAGAAGGTAGAGAGAAGGCCATGCCCCTTACACCCTTGGTATTATTTGGTTAATACTAATCTCTGTCTCAGCAACAGTTTAACAGCTGATTCCTTAACACCGCTAGAATACTCTTTTTTTTTACATCAAAAACTAATTCAAATACAAATGGGCAATGGAATGTGAATCCCGCAGTTGGAGCAAATCAAGCTTCAAAATCTTTACAACATCAAAAAATGAAAATTCCAAAAAAAGGAAATAGAAAAAAGCACAATCTTTCAATCAGCAATTGGCATTTTTTCGGTAAATAAAGAATATTATTACCAAAAATAGCAGAATTACAGCTCAAACAACAAACAACCCTCACTAAGCTGGAAATTGAGCCCCATACCTAGTGCAATCGACATTTCAAAAAAGAAAATGGCAGCAACCGCAACTGCTTTTTCTTAAACTCACAGAATATAGAAAGAAAGAAAAAACTAGCAAAAAACACTAACTAATAATGTATGTGTGTATATATATATGTATATACACACACACACACATTTATTTATTTATTTATTTATTTATTTTAAAAAACAAATCGCAACAAGGCTATATATGGCACTGGTTTCTTGTTTGAATCTCCAAGTTTTTACTCTATCAACAGCGATCTCTCACCCAAAACACACTTTCTTAAAGTATCTCAGCTTGGATTTGAGAAAACAATGGAAGATTACTGGAAACGGGGCTGGCTTTTGCCGAAAGAAAGCGTCTGTTAGACTGTTCGCTAACTCCACATTGTGTTGAGATTTTTATTATTATCATTATTATTATTACTACTATTACTATTATTTTTTACAAGTCAACGTTGTGTTGATTATGACAGTATTACGTTACTAGAAGTAACGATTTACACTTAAATGATGCTTGCCGTAAATGAGCCAAGATAGAATAGTTCAAATGTGCCATCTACTTAGTTCACATAGGACATAACCAAATAATCATATGAGACCTCTCAGTATATCCTCTATGTGTGAACTATTCATAGTGTATCTGCCGCTATCTAGATAGAAAATCTTTTGAACTTCAGGGATTAAAAGCAACAAACCAGTTCCCCATCAATTTAATGATCTAAAGTTTCTTTCTCAAGGTGTTAAAAATACTTCTCTTTCCCAAACCACTACGACATGCCATCACAATGCGGACCCAACTATTTATGAATTAAGGCCCAGTTGATTAATTGTGGTGTGAGTATAAATACAAATTTGAGAAAAGGGACTTTAACAGTCAACTTTTTTGCACTAGGGCTTTTGCCCGTTGTTTCTTGCATTCACTTTCCAAGTATTTGTAAAGAATGAGAAGGAAACCTGAAAGTCCTCGTGTGTCGCGAACACTGCTGCTTGATGCATCTTGGGGCATTTTTACCTGCAGAAGATTTCAGGCAGAAACAAAAATTAAACTTTTAAGAATCAGTTTAACATAATAGTAATAATAATATTGGATGACTAGCCTAGGCAAACAGAACCATGTCATTTCAGTTCAAGTCACCTCTATCGAAAGGGTCTTCTCTTCATAACAAACTTTGATGTGCCCACTGATCCCTTTCTTACCCAAGTGGCCATTAAATCTAACGCAAAATTAGCAAACAAGAAATTTGAGATATGAAGGGACTACCAATGAAGAATCATAAATAAGATGGATAAGTAAATGACAGATCTTACTGCCATGTTAATTGGCGCTTCAAGAGAGTTGCATTTCTATGGAATTTACTCCATCGTAGCTCGAGGGCTTTATGGCATGCCTGACAGTACGTTTAGGAAGGTTTCTATTAGATAACGCTTACAAAACAGAAAGTCAAGACACAAGATGGATTATATTAGCACAAAACAAGCAGGTAAAAGAACATCAAATGAAAATGAGTATCAATATTGGACGAAGCAATAAGAAAGGTAAGTATTAAGAAGAAACGTCAGTGATTTGATATATAGCATGGTTCCCCTTATGTCATGAATACTGGCTGAATTGCTACTACTAAACTAACAATTATGACATTTATCTTAAGGAGTTATTGCCTAACCAACTCTACTGTGAGCCAGAAACTTAAGTAAAATTGGAGGTCAAGACACTTTATATTAAGATGGTGAGCTTTCTAGTCATTTCAATCAACTCATAGATAAGCTGCGAATTCAATGTAAAATTTTCATTAATCAATCTTGAACAATCACTTAGTAGGTAATCAAATAGCAAGTATCTAGAAATAGCAGCGTATAATTTATACAAGACCCCAACAATTATCTGTTTACAGCACTCAAGTATAAAAGCAGAAAACACCAAAACAAAGATAAATGCAATTCAAAATAAGAATTGAGACTCGACCTATGGAATACCACTAAACTGTATGAGGAAAAAAAACACAACCTATAAAAGGTCCTTTGGTTGGAAGAATTAGGAAANCCCCCCCCACCCCAAAACCTCAGTCCACATGGCATTTTTTAATAATAAAATTATTTTTAACCTTTTTAAATTCATTAATTTTTTGGATCATCTTTTTTCGGGCCAAATTAGTAAGAGCTTTTTTTTGTATTTCAGTATATTTTACGTCCCAAGTATATGGGTATTTATATAAAAGTATTATGCAGTTATACTAGGAAAGAAAATAATAAAAGAATATCTTTTTTAAGTCAAAAGATCCATTAGGTTGGTGGGTGGTTAGGAATAGCCCTAACCTATACATAAATCGAACAACAAAAGTACATGGAGGAGGAGATAGACCATAGCCTCCAGAGCATGATGAAAGGTGATTCTAGTCATTCCTATGCAAAAAATGCAGAAGAAATGTAGCTAAGATATGGGAGGACTCTTCCATTACAAAATTTGAACAGCCAACTATAAAGCACAAAGCTAAACAGTTTAAGTGTATAACATACTTAAACTCCTCCATGGTTAACACAGAAGACTCTTCTTTGGCCTAACTCTGAAGTTTGGAAAGCCACCCTGTTATTGCTTCAAGTAAGCTCTAACTTGCCTAGGCAATGAAAGATCTTCAGTGAAGACAATCTCGTTCCTGACCCTTTCACCCAACTGAACATTTAGTTACAGCTAATTAGGACACAATCTTCCTACAATCAAGCTAGTAATTAAAATACTATTCTTCTCCCACAATTAAGCTGGTCAACACTCCCCTCAAGTTGGCGCAAAGATGCGCACATGCCCAACTTGCAAACCGGTGTATGAAAAGTTCGTTTGCTGAGATTTTAAGCAAATTGCCTTCTTCTGAGGATGTTACACAACTTTGGCAAAATTTATTTCCCCCCACTAACATCCCTCTGTACTCAATTAAAGATCAATAACACAAGGAAAACCTCTGAAAACTATAAGCATGACGTCTTCCATGAAAGCTTACCCTCCTTACTAGGATACAGCACCGAGATTCCGTGGGAAACAAATCCTTCATATGAGCATTGCATACTTTTCTTCGCAAAACAAAATTTAACATCTTAGTACTCTAAGATGATGACAAAGCAAAATCAGATTGGTTTTCACATACAATGCAACTAGAGATGCGTTGTTAAGCCTCTGTAACCACATGAAGTCCTTCATTATAATCTCTCCATGAGCCAAAAACAAATTTTATTTTTCCCAGATGGAGGAGACTGGATTATAGCCAAAAAGGAGGTAACTTACACCTAGTTTCTCGCGAAATGCTTTGTACATTTGCTGCTTTTTTAAAATTTTGCGTTCTTTTTTGTTGTACAACATGCGGAGATCCTCAATAGACTCTGGATGTCTGCAAAGAAGTTTCATAAATGAGATTGAATTGGTAGCCAATCAAATACAGTCAAGTCCTTACCTCCGACTCTCTTGCTGAAGTCTTTGACTTAGCCTAGTTAATTGGGCACTTAATTGCTCCGGAGTGCTTCCATCACAGCCTCCTACAGTCTCGATTTCACTTTCAGGACAAATGATTGAAGCTTTTTTGTAGCTCTCCTGCAGCCAGGGATACAGTTAAAGCAAGGTAATATAAGATGCTTTCTGTGACATGAAATGGAAACTGGAGTAGAGAGAGAGAGAGAGAGAGAGAGAGAGAGAGAAAGATGCGCCAATAAGGTAGACCATGGAGAGGGGGGACAAGCAGTGAGCAACTAACAAACTACTAATGTAAATGCTGAAAATATTTGTGGTCATAGTTTTCCTTATGTTAATACTTCCCTTTACCATTTTGACTAATTATACAATATACTTAATCACGGATGCTAAGACTTAAGCCTTTCATGGAATCTCATACTTTAAAATAAGTGTCTTACTCAAAAATACCTAAGTACATAGGTCTACCAGTAACTGATCCAAATCCCTAATAATCAATCTCTAAATATAGCAATGTACCAAAAGTATACTTCTGGTTAATTCCATGCCTATCTTAATTTGAATCTCTCCATTTAAGTGATTTCATGAAATTCAGAATATAAGACGAATAATTTTATTAAAAAAATCTCAAGTACTTGCAGTTCTAACTTCTAAGTGCAATGAATATGCTTCTTAAAAATAGATTTTGTTGGAAGGAATCCGACAATATTCTTTTCCTAATAGTAACTAAAAAATTTTAGTAAAAATCAAAACGTACAGGCCCAAAAACCAAATTAGAATGATATAAAGTCGAAAACATCATAAACTCACAAATGCAAATGCATTACAATAGGAAAAGGATCTAGGAAAGCCAAAAGTGTCAACCAGTATACTATAAATATCCTAATTAATTAAGAACCTTTGTGTTTAGCACTTTATCAAGCTTTTCTGGCCAATATTTAACTAGTTGAACTTCACAAGCGATAATGGAGTATTATAAATATTTTTTAATTTTGGTAAGTATTACAATAAATAATTTCTTAATCAACCCCAGTCAGTGCTCATAGGATTCATATGAATATAAGCAACTATTCATACCCTACGGTTGTGCTCAAGTTCCTGATATTCTTCTTCTGCGCCTTTGAGTTGGGAAAGAACCTTCTTACTCATTACATCTTCATAATGATTCTTCTTCTGAAATAAGAGTTTAAATTGTAATACATCCATGAATTTAATTAAACATCACAATGCGTGAAAAAATAAATATGAAGTGTCAATAAAAATAAGAAACGTAGGACTGAACCAATTCTGCGTCTTTTAGATCTTTATCAATCATCATTAACTCACGCTCTGCTTCCTCCAAGGCTCCAATTTCCACTTTTGCTGATTCTACAGTTCCAGAATGGAAGAGCTTTTACTAAATGGCATATATAGAAGGAATATACTTGGAGATATTCCAACCTGACAAAGGAAGCAAAAATGGCATACCACACAAATTTTCAAAGGATATTTTGACATCATTAGCTTTGGTGTCGGCTTCACTCAGCCTCAATTGAAGCTCTTCCAATGAATTTTCTCTTTCATGTATCTCATCACGGATTTTCTGTACATAGTTTTAAGAAAATATAAACTATAGTGGAATACCATCTAAAAGATCAAGAAAACATTGAATTTGAAACTGAAGACACAGAAACCGAAGTGAAATTTTTAGTGGAGGATGGAAAGAAGAACAGACCGACAGCTCGACGTGAAGCTCATCTACTGTTGATACAGCGGTGGAGCTAGATTCTGCAAGATATGACTTTTTAAAATCTTGCAAGCAAAACTCCTTGGACCTCAAAACGCGCTCTGCATCATGGCGCCTCTTCTGCAGGAGCAGAGAAACTGGTTAAATCAATAGTTGGGCATATCATTCGAAACTTAGAAAGCCTCACTCGCATATATCGGTCTGAATTAGTCTTACCAGAACTAGTTAAAAGAAAGTTTATTATAGCAAGTTATTCAGGAGCAATATGGATCAAAATCCAAAAGAACATGGATGACAGTCAGTAGTACTACCAAGAACACCTTTGTCTTGATGACTTGACCATATAAATGAGCCAGAAAGAATACCGCACCCTATTAGATGAGAGTATCACCAATTTCTCTGTAGCATAAGTACATATTTTCCTGTTTTTATCTTTTTAGAGGGTTTAGCATTGTTTTACTCTCGATGAGGCAGCAAACCTCTGTGAGAAGAAAAAATAACAGCAAGTCAAGGTTTCTTGTTGTACCTAAATCGGTTGTTTGATTCAGGAAAGAACCATCCATGAAAAGCATATTAAAAGCTTAGCAATGGATCCTCCTGTGTCCTGCGGTTTTCACATTCCCAAATATTCTTCAAGTGGCTGTGGGAAATATATTTCTTTATAACTAGGTAATCAAATTACATTTTTTCCCATATATATGTGGGTACACACAGATGTTTTCAAACAACCAGAGAAAGAGGAGTTGTCCGGACAATCTAAAGATATCATAAAATGAGGCAAATTTTCAATATATTCGAACAACTAATAAATTACAGAGACAAGTTAATTATACTTGGTTTACAAGATACTCTAATTTATCATGTTCTGAATGTTAGCTGATTTGTCAAGAAAATGATCAGTCACATGGAACTATTCTGGCGAGGCACAAGCTGCAAGCATTCTTTTTTGCAGAATAATCTGAAGGTGCTAGATCTCAATTTGAGGATGCCATAAATCTTCCTTGACCCACAAAAAGGAAGGAATATAGTGAAACTTGAATAACTACTGAAGAAAGGGAAAACACTTTGATTATGATAAGTAAAACCAAAGTGAAACGTGTAACAGCTTTAGAAAGGGAGTAAAAGCTATTATTCTGGTGGAACACTTAGCTAAAATATCAATACCTTAGCGCTTTGCAAATTATCTTGGAGTCCTTGAAGCTCTTCATCAATACTCCTCTTCATACCCCTGGTTTGTCGAGCTTTCATCTGTGCCTCAGATGCTTCGCTTTCCAGAGTTTTAATTAGATTGTCATATGAACCAGAAAGACGTCCACTCCTCACATTCTTCATTGGTGGAAGAATAGTTTGGACTGAACCCCGAGAAAACCTAGGAAGTTTAGAGTATGTTAATCATGCCAGTGCAAAATGTACTGTTCTATCCTAGCCAATACTAAACCAAGCAATGCGAAAAGAGTAAAGTAGATCAATTAAGGCTCACAAAATGCAAACTATAATTTTTAAACCATCTTGAATTAAAATGATGGCCACAGTTCTCCATGAAATAAACACCTCTTGCCAGACTTGCTGTCGTTGGAATGGATACTTCAAAATTTTGGACAGGTTTAGAGCATCGGGTTAGTCATCCTAAACAGCTCCACACAAAATAAACGATGGAAGTCAATTCATAGATTTAATTAATACACGAACTTGATGAATTTCGTCCGCCAAGTACTTGATGAATCTATACACGAACTATGTACAACCTAGCCAATAACTTGAAGAGGAAGTTACTCACAGGAATACAGGAAAGCAATTAAGCATGAAGATACAAAATTGAGCGGCATATGAGAGACCACATAATCTTACATTTTGTACCCATCAGAAGTGTAAACCTCCTTCAAATTTGAAATCCTTTGCTCAAAAGCAACTGCTTTTCCAGCATCATAGTCTTTAACAAGCACTTGCCTCTCAGCATTACCCTAACAAGAGAAAGGAAACATCAAGGCATAATCAGCATAACTAACCTAAACAACAGAAAAATACAGATGTAACAGTGACAAAAGATCAACACAAGAGACTGGAAAATAGTCTGAAGTTCATGGCAATAAATAAGAACCCAAATCGTGACTAAAAACTTAGAGAAACCCCAGCAGAGAGGAGAATAATGAAAAAAGGAATTGTGAACTTGACCGCCAGGGATAAGCCAAGCTATCATAATCATAATCGATATGAAAATAAAAAGAGTTTTCTGCAAATTGGCAATCATCTGTCCACACATAAATTAAATCTGAACTCGAAACCGCTTAGTATGATCAGTAAGAAGCTATAAAACTAAAGAACAGCTTAGCTTTGGTAAGAATAATTTTACCCACAGAAATGGCAACTTTACCACATCAATCAAGACATTTAGTACGGTAGGATTGTCAGAACGTAGAACCGAAATTGCAGTTGGATGATGAGTCCGGGGAAGCATGTGATCGGGAATGTTCAACCTACACCAACAAATACAAGCAAAAGCTTTATCAGAAACCAGAAAAGTATCTATCTACCCAGAAGTGACTGGTATACATTGTCATCAACGATGTGTAAGGGCATAAATCACCCCTAACAATACACACACGCGCGCGCACACAAACATACATACATACATACATACATACATACATACATACATCAAACATATAGAGCAAGATCATTACCTTGGTCTAGAGAACTCATAAATGATAATCTGTAAGTTATTATAATTCGCTTCCCTTGCACAAGCTCTTAATAAAAGGGAATCCTTATGATCTGTTACGATAAAACCGTTAAGCAGCGAGCCAATGGCACTTTCAATAGCAATACCCCATTTGTCACCATCAATCAAGGTCTGCAATAACAAGTTGATAAATGTTTAGCATGGGCTCTCAAAAGTTAAACAAGCAAGAAAGCTAAACATATTAATTGCATATGCAGTTAAAACCAATAAAGGAAATAGAAAACAAAAGACACCACAGATCCACTTATACTACATGGAAGGCAGAATAATATGGGGAAAAAATTAAAAGGGCATGGGCAAAGAACTGTGATTATGGGAGGGCGTCTCGTGTAGATCTGACACAGTTATACTACAGAATCTCAGGACAAGTGAACTAAAGAGTAGCAAGGAGGCCAAGTCGAATACCTATTCACATACATAAATGGAAAGCATATTGGGAGTGGTCCCGGTAAAAGATACAGTTAATTGAGGAGAGGGTTTCCAGTATTTCATCCAAAGGTAGGATGAGCTCCATTCTATGTTCTGTAGCATGCATTTCCCCTAGAAAATGCAGACAGGCAGCTGTTTGAAGCTTGGTTCACAGAAGCGATCACCTTACATTTTAATTTGGTTTCACTTTTCAGTAGAATGAATTGACATAAGAACAGAGGTTGAGGAGGATTTAAATGACGAGAATTGACGAAAGTATTAAACACTATACATAAATTGCACAATTTGCCAAAAAAAGGCTCCCTGGATGAGAGGATAGATCTACCTGCAATAACCAAGCACATCTCCTTTTGGGTACATGCCTCTTTCTATGCTTGCGTTCAAATACAAACTAACAATCAAGTATATGATATGCTCCCTCAAAAATCTCCCTTTTCGACTATAAAGGAGATTTGCTATCAGTTACAAATGCCTAAGAGGATAGAGGGTATACCTAGCTACAAACACCTATCCGAGTCTGGAAATCCTTCAAACAAATGAGCTTACTTTTCTTCTGAACTATATTAACAATAGGTTAGCTTTTGTTCTTTTGTGCAATCCGCTGGCTTCATTTGGATATGTTATATAACAATTTGTCTGATTCTTAGTGAAGCTACAATGACTGAGTTCTCACTTGAATTGTGGCAGGTGGAATTGTTCTTAGAATGGAGCTTTGGGACAAAACACAAAACANCTTAGAATGGAGCTTTGGGACAAAACACGAAACTTGAGGTTGTTGCAAGAAATATGGACAAGAGGTGAGGCAGGCAAACTGTAGATCCTAAAAGCTGAAAGAAATGCCAATTCTAGCATGACTTTTGGGTAGTAAAGTAGCATGTAAAGAATGATGCTGAGGGTTCCAAATTGAAGGACAGTAATCCTATTTTTTGCTGAAGAAGCACGTATATAAGACCATACTTGTAGGAATATTATTCAAACATTTCATTGATTGATAGATGCCATGAGAATAAGAGAGCGGCGAAAGAGTTGAGAGGAGTGCATGAGAGTTCCAATGCCATAGGCCTAAATCGTTTTAATGTACAAATTAACATTTACCCAAGGTAGACACATATAATAAACTATATTGCATTTAAGTCTAATCTTCTTTACATAACTATCTAACAGATTCACCCTCTTAGCACAATGTTTTAGTTAACTATTATACTTAACTCTAAGGTACATAACAATCTAAATGATTCACCACTTTTGTCCAATTTTTTCCACTTGGTACATTCCATCATCTTCGGATGTTGATGGCCAACTGTAAAAGTAAATAACCCTAACAAACTGAGAGAATAATGAAACATTTATAATGGAATAATGAGCGTATCTGACTGTGGAAATGACAAAAGAATCAGTCTTCAGTTGCTTGTAAGCTCGGACAAGAAAAACAGGACAAGAGATACTCCATAGATGTACCATAATTTTTATCCATCACATACCATATGAGCACCTATTGGACCAATCGGCGCCCTCTTGAACTTTCTATGATGCCTTTCAATAACCTCCAGAAGGCCCATCACTCTACCTCCTCCAAAGGCTGTAACCTGAGAAAAGGAAATTAGTACAAACAGCAAAGGTTTGCAGAGAAACAAAGACAAAATAATGATTTAGGAAATGCAAATAAGTCCTCAATTTTTGCTTCCGTATAAATTCTTATACAGATTCTTATGTTGCCAGAGGTGGACCACAAACCAGAAGAACAACAAACCTAGTGTAATCCCACAAAGTGGGGTCTAGGGAGGGTAGAGTGTACGCAGCCTTACCCTTACCATGAGAAGGTAGAGAGATTGTTTCCGATAGACCCCCGTATGAAAAGAAGCAATAAAACAGCAAGATAAGATGATAATAACCGAAGCGGAAGAATGAAAATGAAAAATATAAGACTAATACTAAAGCTATGTTATGGAAAGGAGACACACACGACTACTTACTAACCTTCTAACCTAATTCTCGACCTCCACAACCTCCTATCAAGGGTCATGTCCTCAATAAGCTAAAGTTGCGCCACATCATGCCTAATCACATTTCCCCAATACTTATTAGGCCTACCCCTACCTCTCCTCAGCCCCACCATGGCTAGCCTCTCATACCTACTCACCGGGGCATCTATGTTGAAACCAAAAGTGAATCACAATAAAATTTCATTTATTTTACTATCATCTTTACACCTTAAATTGACAACAAGGCATAACCTATGATTTAAAAAAGTCTTCAATAAAAAGACATTGTTCTCTTTTTATTGATTAGAGAAAGCTCCCTCCATTTGTACGTCGATGATTGTATTAAATTATTGAATAAAAACCAAGGAGGTGCTGACTATTTACATTGAGATTAAAAAAGTGCACGAACCCCACTCTCCCATAGATCCTAGAGAGTTAAGAGTTCCAAGAATGGAGTTGATATTTTATACATCTTTGTTTTCTTTTTCTTTTACTTTTATAGATAAGTGAACCGAATACATCTGTCATGTTGCGTGATGAAGTTAAAACACACAAGCATTTGAGTGTGTTTTGCTTCCCTTCTGTTAGCACGTAGTGTTCCTCTCCTTCCAAAAGATCCACAAAATGCATCCGAGTTCTATTTCGAATATTGCCAAATTCTTTCAGTCCTCCAACCTGACCAGCTCAAAAGCACTTCCTTCAGAGATCTTGGTATCAACCACTTGATATCAGAAAAGTTAAAGTAACATGCTCCATATTCCATAATGGTGTTGCACTTATACACTGCAAAAATAGACGGTTTGTTTTCCCATATCATCTCCAAGGACAGTCACAGTGACTTCATTTCCTTGCAATGCATGGTAATAAGGCTTCACTGAGAATCACCCACAACTTTTTACTCCCAAGATCAAGGATATGAAGTTATATTCAGCTGTTAGTTCCTTGACCTCTTCGGTTCTTCCAATTAACAGGATGTTCTGTCAATATTTCACAATCCTGATAATATCTTCTAAACTCTAGCCTCCAACCCTGTTGGGTATTATATTAAGTTAAGCTGCGTGTTAACCGCACAGTTAAAAAAATCAGAAACTTCCTCTTAAAGTGAGATTTGGAATATTAATCTTCTTGTCATGTTAATACATAAGAAAACAGGAAAAACTCCACAGATGGCTGAATAAAAAACAACAGAAACTGTAGAACAGTTCTGCTTGCTTATGTATATGGCTATCGTCATGCCAAGTTTCCATCCTCAGTCTATTAACATCAATTGAACAACACACAGACAGAGAAGATCTTTTAGTAAATGATGAAAGCATAGCTTATTGCTATAATACGATAAAGATGGCAAATGTAAACAGAAGGCAGAGAAGACACAAGAAAAATCAGAGAGAATATTGAGGTGCTCTTTGCATTCATTCAACAAAGATAAGAATAAAAAACAAAGGAGTGATTGTAAAAGATGGCGTTATACGTCACTGAGATATATATTGTCCTATGTTTAATTCTCTTAGCTATCGTATGTCTCTATATTTGAGCTCTTGACAGCCAATATACAATTCTATCTGATGATCTTTGAAACTATTGTTGAAAGTGGTAAATAAAATGGTTCATTTACCATTTAACAATAGGTCAATAGAAAATCATATGACAGTGTCAAGATACAAACCCAAGTAACTAATAAAATTTGGAAGACCACTAAGGTATCAATTGTTAGAGTTGGGGAACCTAAGAACTTTGCAAAAATGAATTTCTCCCTCCAAGCAAGCTAAGATGAATAAAGAACAACCCTTGACAGATAGAACTAAGATACCTTGTTGCTTTTATGAAGTTGAAACTCACGAATGCGAGAGCGTGTGTCACGATCCTTCTTGTCATTCTCTTCAATCTAAAAGAACCCAAAAATAATAGTATAAGACCAAGATTCCCAAAGCAAAAGATATAAATTGCACCTAAAATGAAAATTAAGAGAAAAATGGAAATAAAAACTAGGAAAATCAGCCAATTTTGGATCGTGACAGTAGAACTACAACGTCTTGTTACAAAGGATGTAAGAAAGAACACAGCATTAATCAACAAGGTTATCAAAGTCAGGAAAACTTTCCTCATACTCTGGCATGCTTGTTCAAAAGAGGAAAATCAGCTAATATCTTCATACCTCATGAACAATACTGCTTATCTGATCCTTCGCCTGATTGATTTTCTCAATTAAGGTAACTTCTTCATTTTTCAACCTGCATATTACAGCTTCAAAATTTCAGTTGGATCAAGAGTAATTTCTCAAAAAAAAGGAACTGTACTCATGAAGCAGTCAAGCAGTAACACAATCAAATATTTCTTAAACATAAAATCCTATGACCTTTGAAATACAGCATTAGCCTTATCAACCTCAGCTTGGAACTCCTCCAGTTTCACCTCCATATCATGTTCTTCGGCCTACAGTAAATTGGAACGTAGAAGCATGTAAATCATTTCCACAAGATATACATAAACCCCACATTTAGTCAGCTGAAGAATTGAATTCAATGGAACACACATTTATCCTGGATGACTATTTTTTATCTCAACACCAGAATACACAATGGAACCGAACATTACAGTAACAGCTTTTATGAGGCACAGACATTATCTGAAAAACTAAATTTTTCACCTGGCTGGAAACACGTCAGAGTATCATTTTTATATCAAAAGGCTATGCTACTAATAGAGAATGAGCAGATTTACAACAACAAACCCAGTGTAATCTCTCAAGTGGGGTCTGGGGAGGGTAACGTGTACGCAAACCTTATCCCTACCTTGTGAAGGTAGAGAGGTTGTTTCAGATAGACCATCGGCTCAAGAACGAGCAGATTTATTGAGGTCAAAATCACTTTCAACATTTCTGCCCAAATTGCAGCGCTTACACGAGAAATGTCTACAAATTATAGCTTCTGCATTAGCCCCAGACATGGAAAGCGGCCTTGTTGGGTGATCACAAAACTCTTGGCTGTAAAATAGAGGTGCATGGAGAACGACCTTTTTGGATGATCACAACTTGGCAGTAAAATAGAGGTGTTTTGCGTCATTATTACTAGCTAGCCTCAAAGTCAGCATACAGCATAAGAAAGCCTCACCCATCCGTCCCTGCCCTCTGATATAGTAGAGTGAAAATTCCATACTGTACAGTAGACTTACTATTGTTAGCTTAAATACTGGAAAGCTACAGTAAAACTAGGTACCAAATCACACCAAGAAAGGCTGAAAGGAATATCTGAAGGATCGAAATAAAAGAATAGGTCAGAAAGAGCTTGCATTCATTTCTATAAGGAGCAGACTTTCTTTCTAGGTTTGCAATACCAGGGTGTACTGAGAACTAATTAAATAGAGTATCAATTCGCAGAGGTACAGAAAATCACTGTAGTGAACCTGTGTATTTCTAATATTCTGCTCATCCACATCATGTATTTGTTGTTCAAGCATCTTGACCCGTTTTGCCATCTTTTGGATGTAATTACCTCTACGATGCCACTCCTCCTCCAGCTCAAGCTTTTCCTTTGTAGCCTAACAAACGAAATTCACATATTAAAGAAAAGTTTTGCCATCAAGATAGAAGTAGAGAAAGAGCATTTGAATATATACAGCTTTCAGTCATCTTCAGCAGGAAATACGCAGCCGAAGGAGCAACACATGGCAAGTACTTTGTACTAATAGTTCACAACCGAAGGTGATCTATACATACATACTGATTACTTAATTTCCCAACTATATATGGACAATATGTAAGGAGACAAAGGAAAGGAACAAATTTCTTTCAGTATAACAAACAGGGTCTAAAAGGATGAACATGGATAATGAGGATCATATAGCCGACTCCAACTAGCTTGGAATTGAGGCATAGTTGTTTTTGTACAAAGAACAAGAGTAGCAGAATTGGGAGTCAGCTAAAACTGAAAACTAGGATGACAACAAAACAATCATTCAATCATCATACTTATCAAATAACACTATCCAAATCAGAAAAGGAATTATATGAGAAGTGCTCACATACCGAAGAAAGACTCTGCTTCAATTCTTCTGTCATCCTCCTCACCTCAGATGTCTTTTCCATCAAATGAGCAATTTGAGCTTTCTTCTTGGTCAACTGATCGTTCAATTCCTCCATCTTCCTCTGTCATCCAAACCAAGTTTGCTTAGTGCTTTTCTAGGAATAAGACATCATATGATCAAGCAATGTGAAGTAACAAATGAACTATGCAAGAAGAGAAAGAGAAGGGTAGAAAATACAGTCACAAACAAAAGTTTCACCACAGAATACAAACGACAAATAGTGAATGTTCCCTTCTGGTCACAAGTAAAATTACCGTAACCGCCTAACCACTAAGACTTCTATGACTTTGGTACAGAAAGAGATCAATAACAGCAACAACGCCTCAATCCCAAACTAGTGGAGGTTGGTACAGAAAGGAATAGCAACAATATCTTACCTATCTTGTATTTGACTCAAGCTAGATGAATCTTTGGGGGAGAGAGAGAGAGACTGTATACCCTAATTCCTTCTAGCTATATAGATATTTAATCTTTGAAAAACAAGAGGAGAAAAGAATAAGAGAAACCACTGAATCAGACTAGAAAAAATCACATACACTGTGTGCACCATTATGACAGCATGGCCAACTCTTTATTTAGAAGGAAAATGCAATATGGAAAGAATGAAGACCCGAACTTGTTTCGTCATATACAAATATATCAGTATTGCAAATACTGGTTAGACATCAGTATTTGCATGAACGTTTATTTGAAATACTGAACTGCTAGTTTGAGGGGTGTTTCAAGTGAAATAATGATTTCCAATCATAAATCACCCTCTTATTTTCAAGTGAAGTTCATTCCCAAACAAAACTTCAACTTCCACAAACTTAATTTCAACTTCAATTTCAAAAAGCCTTTCTTTAACTTCAACAAAATATTGTCCAAACGCCTACTTCATATGCTCAGGCTTTATTGATGAAGTAGAAAGGAGAAAAGAGTTCTTAAAGCAAGTCTAGTCAGAACATTGACAAGCAAGTTGTACCGCCTGAGAGACAATATCCACATGTAGAAAAGGCAATAGCACGTCTCAGCCCAATTTGAGAGTTTCTCCACTAAGGAAGCTGTTGTACTGTTCGAATCCATCAACATTTAGGCAAAATGGGTACTGGACAAGGACATTGGCAGCTGGGGGACCCATTCCTCCTCGTGGACCACAAGCCTTTCCAAGGAGGTTGAAATGTGCAAAGGAGATAAAAGGAGATTATTGCAAGACGCATTGCTGGCTTACGACTATCGGAAACAGCCTCTATAAGCTAGGGGTAAGGTCTGTGTACACACTACCCTCCCCAGACCCCACTTGTAGGATTACACTGGGTTTGTTGTTGTTGTTTGCATTGTTGGCTTACGACTGACCAGTTACGGTGAATAGTTGAGTTGTGTGACAGACTCCTTGATGTTGCTGTCACATTAGTGGAAGAGCAGACATGTCGAGTGAAACTACTCACTTGGAATGGACGAGTCAGCCATTCTAAATCTGTTATAATAGCCGACGGAATGTTTTGTTTAACAGTATTTGGTTGTTGGTGGAGAGGAGCGAAATTGTGCCCAACCCATTGAACCACAACAATACCATGATGGAAAACAGGTTGCAGCCAAAACAGAGAGCTGGTTGCAAGAAACTATCCGGAAAACCCTGAAGAAGCCATTAGCAGTGCAGATGGCCCCACAGTCAAGGCAAGGACAAGATATTCATACTGTCAGAGGAAGCAAGTACAGTAGGGTGTTTTAAACATCGATTAAGTAGGTCCACAGGCAAGGCCAAAAGCTAGTTAAGTCCATAATAAATAAAAAATGAACCAAGCTTTCAGCAGAAAACGCCCATTCGAAGGCAGCACAAAATTTTGCCTGGATAACCATTAACTCACAACAGGAGGACCAGCCTGAGAAGTTCGGATAAACCAAAGACATAAAAGTTAAATAAAGGGCCATTGAAATTCCTACTCCCAAGAGTAAACATAACCTTTCTGCTCTATCTGCCTGACAGAAAAAAGACAAAGTTGAAGCAGCCACTGAAGCCAGTGCAGATCAAGCAGAAGAAAATGGCTGGACAATGGTTATCACGCTACTTGCCATTTTTGAAGTAGGAGAGACCAGGGGAAACAAGATCAAAGGCAGGGGATGCAACCAAAGATGATGGATCATCTTTCTTTATCTCAATATCCAACGCTAGCTCTTTAGCATACTAGTCAACACGTTACTACACACGAGGAAGGGGAAGATTAGTTACTTCAGGAATCCATAAGGAAGAAAGAAACAGAAGTCTGACAATAGCGGAAAGATCAATCGAAAAATTCAATTTTCTTTCATAATTATTCAAATTCATTGTTGAGGAGGTCGTGGGTGCGATTGGTAAGATGAGTCGGGGCAAAGCGACAGACCAGACGAGATTCCAGTAGAGTTTTGGAGATATATTATGCGGGTAGAGCAGGCTTGGAGTGGCTGACTGAGTTGTTTAATGTTATCTTCAAGACGAAGAGGATGCCTGATGAGTGGCGATGGAGTACAATGGTTCCGGTGTACAAGAACAAAGGGGATATCCAGAATTGTAACAACTATAGGGGTATCAAATTACTAAGTCATACCATGAAAGTTTGGGAAACGGTGGTGGAAAGGAGGATAAGGAGGGCGGTGTCTGTATCGGAAAACCAGTTTGGGTTCACGCCGAGTCGTTCTACTACGGAAGCTATCCACCTTATCAGGAGGTTGGTGGAACAATACAGGGATAGGAAGAGGGATTTGCATATGGTGTTTATTAACCTAGAGAAGGCGTATGACAAGGTCCCTAGGGACGTCCTTTGGAGATGTTTGGAGGCAAAAGGTGTGCCGGTGGCTTACATTACGGCGATAAAGAATATGTATAATGGAGTTATGACTCGGGTTGGGACTGTGGGGGATGACTCAGAGCCTTTTCCGGTGGTAATGGGGTTACACCAAGGATCTGCCCTAAGCCCGTTCTTATTTGCCCTGGCGATTGACGCACTGACACACCTTATCCAAGGAGAGGTGCCATGGTGTATGTTGTTCGCTGATGATATAGTTCTGATTGATGAGACGCGAAGCGGCGTTAATGGGAGACTGGAGGTATGGAGGCAGGCCCTGGAGTCTAAAGGTTTCAAGTTGAGTAGGACTAAGACAGAATATGTGGAATGTAAGTTCAGCGATGTGAAGAGGGAATCGGACGTGGAAGTCAGGCTTGACTCACAGGTCATCCGCAAGAGAGAAAGTTTTAAGTACTTAGGGGAAATTATCCAGGGAGATGGAGAGATCGACGGGGATGTTGCTCACCGTATTGGGGTAAGGTGGATGAAATGGAGGTTAGCATCTGGAGTCCTGTGTGACAAGAATGTGCCACCGAAACTCAAAGGTAAGTTCTATAGAGCGGTGGTTAGACCGGCCATGTTGTATGGGGCTGAGTGTTGGCCAGTCAAGAATTCACATATCCAAAAGATGAAAGTAGCAGAAATGAGGATGTTGAGATGGATGTGTGGCACACTAGGCTGGATAAGATTAGGAATGAAGATATTCGGGAGAAGGTGGGCGTGGCTCCGGTGGAGGACAAGATGCGGGAAGCGCGACTTAGATGGTTCAGGCACGTGCAGATGAGAAGCCTAGATGCCCTGGTTAGGAGGTGTGAGAGGTTGGCTTTGGCAGGTACGAGAAAAGGTAGAGGACGGCCTAAGAAGTATTAGGGCGAGATGATCAGACAGGACATGGCGCGGCTCCAGATTTCCGAGGACATGGCTCTTGATAGGAAGGTGTGAAGGTCGAGCATTAAGGTTGTAGGTTAAGGGGTAGTCGAGCGGTTTTCCTCTGTCCCTATTTCCCTCTTTGTTCCGGCGAGTATGGTAGTGTTTTGTCTAGCACTACTAGCGATTTATGTTATGTTTCACACTTTTGCATAATATTTGTGTTACTGCTTTTCCATTTATTTGTTGTCTCTCACGTTGCTGATATTGTTTTTCAGGTTTTCGGGTTTGTGTTGTTACAGATCTAGTGTCTATGAGCCGAGGGTCTCCCGGAAACAGCCTCTCTACCCCCTCCAGGGTAGGGGTAAGGTCCGCGTACCCTCTACCCTCCCCAGACCCCACTGGTGGGATTTTACTGGGTCGTTATTTTTGTTGTTGGTTGAGAAATGTTATCTCTCCGCTGTATATTTACTGATGTTCGTTCTCATTTGATAATATAATAAGAACAACAACACTCAACTCTTTATTATCTACTTCTTTCTTATATATATAGGATAGCACCATCTCCAGAAAGGCACTAAGGCCAGCCGCTTCTAACAAGGGCAGGATTGTCATACTAATAAACATTACAGCAAAGAAATGAAGAAGTCTCCGGTAGCATATGCAGAAGAGGAGAAAGCTTCTAGAGATGGTTATAACAAAGGCATTATGACTCTGAGCATAACTTTCTCAGGGAAAGATCAGAGCACTTACAAGATGCTGATCTATTCGAGATTGACATGTGGGAATCCGTCCTTTCAACTCCTCAATCCGTTTACTTTTATCTTGTAACTGCTTGTCTACACTGTATACCCATGCCCATGCCAATTTCTTCTTCAACAAGTCTACCTGATGAGAGATCTCCTCTATATGTTCCATGTTTCTAATCTTTACTTGCAACTCATCAAGTTCTTTCACTATAGGACTTATTGATTTCTCCAGTTCAGCAACTAGTTCATTTGCATTTTTCAATTGATCCTCAATACCAATCAGAAGATCTTCCACTTGCTGAAGTAGTGTTGCCTTGAAAAAGAACTGCAAAGTATCATGATAGTGGCAGATTAATCGCTAAATAGGATCTCCCTCCATTAAGCAGTAGTCATTGATAAACTAAAAATATGAAACAGAAAAAGACAAAGTTCAACGAACAATGCTGGCCAACCTCTAAACTCAGAATGAAATATAAACACGGCAGAAAGAAGGCTACCAAGTGGAAGATCAAATTACACAAGCATCACCTGATAATGTTAGCAATTAAGCCCCTCACCTTGAACTTGTCTTTGGCATTTCCGGAATGTAAGAATTCCCTGCTTTTATCTTGACTCATTATTACACATGGATTTTCCACATCAATCTGCATAATATAAAATGCACAATAACTGAACACCTAATTTCTATAATGGCCTAAAAAAGAAGTCAATGATTCCCTGCACTTGCTCATATTCGTGCTTATTAAGGAATAAAAACTAAAAAGTCTATCAGTTTTGGAGAAGTAAAGCTTAAGCTTCACCAATAAAATTAAGAACAAATTCTCTGTCTAGGCATGCACTCACATTGAAATGAACTATAAGTTCTTGGAGTTCCTCTCTTTTGGCAGCCACCTTTTTACCTGTTAAATGCCATTAGAAGAAGGAAAAAAGGATAAGGAAAAACAAGAAGATCCAGCATGAAATCGACAAGCTCCGCCCAATGAGCCAAGGATAATAAGCAAGGTAACATAGTTTAGTTGAGCTCTGCCTCCACAAGCATAAATTGGAAGCTTGATGAACTTTTCTTAACTTTGATTATTAAATGAATAATCAAATGTGACATGAAAAGCAATCATTTAGAATTTGTGAACTGGAAACTGAAAACATGATGCACAAATGCTGCACGGCTTGGTGTCCAACTTGGTCTTCAAATTTCAGGAGAATTTGATTAAACTTCTAAAGTTGGGAACTTAAAAGGAGGAACAGACACAGATAAAAAGAGAATTAGTATATTGTAAATTCATCAGGCCACACAACCAATATCAACACAAATTACTCCCAAATACAGTTGAGCAAAGCTAGTACGAGATTCAAACGAATTTCCATATCAATGTGCTTCAGGAAGACCCTAACAAACTGCCAAACCAAATTCAGAAAAAAGAAAAATCAAGGAACAAAACAAGGTTCAGCTGGACTTTGGACAAAGGTTTATGATTAAAAACTTGCTTTACCAAGAAATCTTTTAAAAGCAATAACCAACAACTACTTCAGTTCTGTAATGCAAAGAATTCCTCAACAGAACATCTCAGGAAACAAAAATAAGCAAGCACACAAGACAATAACATCTTAATTAACAGATATCTTCAGTAAAAAGCAAGATATAAGCTTTCTAATATCACATAACTTTAGATTGCTGCCCTTTTACATATTCTATATGTTCATAGATACTAGCATATTCTATCAACTAGAAAGAGCTATTGAAATCACAATACAAAACCTTGGTAATTCTTTAGAACGATAGAACCGGTAGACTCTGAGATCCTGCGCTCTACAATTATGAGGTCACCATAAGTTTCTGCCTTGAAAGCATCCTCTCCTCGGTTTTTTATTTCAACGTGAACAAGGGCATGGCTGTGAATAGATACAAATTAGCAGCACCTTATAAGCACATTAGTAGAAACTCAAACGTAGAATTCAACTTAGATTATCTTGCTAAAGGAAAGGTGCATAATGAGATGAATACCAGACTGAATAGTATTTCCTACTTCATTAAGAAAATAAAAGAAATTCCCAGGTATAAATCTATGATATTATGTATCCATTTGTGGAGTGTAAGTTCAACGACGTGATGGGGAAAGCGGACGTGGAAGTGAGGCTTGACTCACAAGTCATCCCCAAGAGAGAAAGTTTCAAGTACCTAGGGTCAATTATCCCGGGAGATGGGGAGATCGACGGGGATGTTACGCACCGTATTGAGGTAGGGTGGATGAAGTGGAGGTTAGCATCTGGAGTCCTGTGTGACAAGTATGTGTCACCGAAACTTAAAGTAAGTTCTATATAGCGGTGGTTAGACCGGCCATGTTGTATTGGGCGGAGTGTTGGCCAGTCAAGAATTCACATATCCAGAAATTGAAAGTAGCAGAAATGAGGATGTTGAGATGGATGTACGGGTACACTAGGCTGGATAAGATTAGGGATGAAGATATTCGGGAGAGGGTGGGCGTGGCTCCGATGGACAACAAGATGTGGAAAGTGCGGCTTAGATGGTTCAGGCACCTGCAGGTACGAGAAGAGGTAGAGGGCGGCCTAAGAAGTATTGGGGAGAGGTGATTAGACAGGACATGGTGCGGCTCCAGATTTTCGAGGACATGGCTCTTGGCAGGAAGGTGTGGAAGTAGAACATTAGGGTTACATGTTAAGGGGGAGTCGAGCGGTTTTCCTCTTTGTCCCAGTTTTCCTCTTTGTACTGGCTAGTATGATAATGTTTTGTCTAGCACTGCTAGCGGTTTATGTTGTGTTTCATATTTTGCATAATATCGGTGTCACTGCTTTTCCATTTATTTGTTGTCTCTCACGTTGCTGATATTATTTTTCTGGTTTCTGTTGTTGTCACGGATCTATTGTCTCTGAGCTGAGGGTCTCGCGGAAACAGCCTCTCTACCCTTCTGGGGTATGGGTGAGGTATGCGTACACTCTACCCTCCCCAGACCCCACTGGTGGTATTTTACTGGGTTGTTGTTGTTGTATGAATCCATTTGTTTGTTTCCATTTTTTTTACATATAGAAAGAAAACAAAACTATTTTAGTGGCTATACTCATTCAATGTTTTCTTTTTTTGATACATTAAGAAGAGAATCATTCGACTTTCAAGCCTCCATAACATGGGTATATACTGAAGATATTAATCTATATTTAACTTTCTGGTTTATCCATGAATCACATCAGACGGGCATTTCCTCTAAAGCTTATCTTCATCAGATCTAAGTTCTAACAGTAATTTAAAACCAGAAGATAATCTCAAAGCTTGTAACACAATCCACAAATAGAGGACAGTAAATGCTTCTTCGCAAAACAGAACGAGGTAAGAATCAAACAATAACAAACCTGCAGCCTGTCTTTATAAAATCCTTTAGTGTATTGGCCCTTTGTGTGCCTCTAGCGCGGCTCCCAAATGCCACACATAATGCTGTGAGTATAGCACTTTTCCCACCTACGCCAATCAAAAACCAGTACAAAAACTAAAAATAGATCCTCTCAAGCCACATCATGGAAATGATAAGAAAGCAAACACCAACTTAGTCAATGATTCACACATAGTAAACTTTTCTTTAACCAAAATAATTAAGTTATTTGGTCTCAAGTTATTGTTTTTATGATGGCGATGTACGCGCCAGCTTGCGTACACCTTGAAAAATTCCACCGGATATACGCTACCTCCCACAAGTACCGCAAGTACCAGGTAACTCTACTTAAGCAGATGAGGAGAAATCACCTAGTGTTTTTGCCTAGATTTGATTTTGAAACTTTGACCTCATGGTTCTCCTCCCACTTCATCAACCTCTAGGCCACACTCTTGAGGGCCGGTCTCAAGTCATATACTAAACTACTAAAGGCTGACAACAGGATTCCCTCTGCTGTGCACCTCAAACTGCCACTCTAATCCCAACCTGACACCCCACTAATTAAGAGTGAACCACCTATCTGCAATTCCCTGCACCCAGGTAGAGCAGACAAGTACGAGCGCATTTTCAATTAGGACTGTGCGCATACACTAGGGGAAAATGAATTTGGGGAAGTTGTACTCCTGCTTTGCAAAGCAAACTAGATTTTAAGGCAATAGCAGATAAATTATAAACAAATCAAATTTTGACCAAGTCTGCACTCAATAGCACGGTGTACCTACTAGCCTTTTAATTCTAGAAAAAATATGTAATAGTGACTCTTTTTTTATCAATGTGGAGTTTGGGCCAGATTGCTAGCTCCTCGAATATTCTACCGGGCACCTGCAGTCTCCCACCAGCACAAATACCGAGCAACTCTGCCCACTAAGGCTTAAGCAAATGGGAAGAAATCATCTACTCCCTCTGTCCCAATTTATGGGTCATACTTGTTTTTCAGTCTGTCCAAAAAGAATATCATACTTCCTTATTTAAGAACAATTTAACTTTAAACGTGATGTACATCCACACATATATTTATGGCTTATTTTAGACTCCAAGATTCAAAAGTATTATTTTTTTCTTATTTTAGTTTTGGAATGGAAGAAGTAGTATTTTTTGCATCCGCCAGGATTTGAACCTGAGTACTTTATGGTTCTCCTCTTACTTCATTATTGACCACTAGGCCACATAAATTTTGAAAAAATAATATTTATACTAAGTCCGCGTGCATTCTCACAGAGGAATAATGGTGGGTGCAGAGGTACTCGGAACTCAGTGACTTTATGCAATTTCCATTACAGTAAAGGGGGAAAATGAGAACGTAACGGAACTTAAACGCAGTAAGAGGAAGAGAGAACTTACTTCCGTTCTGACCAGTAATGAAATTAACGGAATCACCGAAATCGATCTCGAGGTTACTATGGCACATGAAATTTTCCAGTCGGATTTTTGAAATAATACCCGCTTCTAGACGCTTCGGCCTCCCTGTCGCCGGAACCCTATCCTCCATTTTTCTTGAAAGCTACACGCGCCGATTCTACCGAAGAGAAAAGATTGATATCGCGATTGAGTTGATGGCACTGAAGTACAGTTCTACAGTCTCACTTCTTTCTCTTCACGCTTCGCATCGGGAAGGCGTAGGGAACAAATGGCGGGAAGGGCATCGTTTATAGTCGTGTTTATACCAAATTAATTATAAATATAAACAATTGAGAAATATGTACTTTTCGTCAATTTAAAAAAAAAAATTAATAAAATGTATATTTTTTAATATATACTAATATTATACATCTTTTGGCTAGCAAATACAATTAATATCAGCTGACCCACAAATTTGATATTTTGCTCTAAATAATTAGATCTTATGCACATATATGTTATATGCTTTAAGGTAAACATCCAATAGGAATAAGTTTCTATCATATCTTCTTCCCATTTTGGGCAACATTTTGATAATGTATTTTGGAAAGTTACAAGAACAGTTAGACGTAATGTTATTAGCAAGGTCGTTGGGTCCACAATCTAATTATGCAATAATTATAATAGATAAATTATTATGTGGTATGATATTTATCTTACACTATTCACTAATAGTGTAGATAGATGAGCGTTTATATAATTGTTATAATTTGGCATGCTATAAAAGGTTACTTAGCTTATTTTAAGGTTACTAATTTAACTGATTATGAGTAGTTAGTTTTAATTATATTTTTGAGAGATGAATTGATTGCGCAAAACTTTCAGTATATACAAATTAACCACTTAATTAGAAAAGCTAGCATTACAAACTTGTTCGCTACATCTTATCTTAGATGTTATTGTGCTTCGGACACTATAATCAATAACTAGATCAAAGTGGAGAACCACCTCTAGTTGATTTGTATCTATATTGGTGGCATTCATCTCATCTCATTAATTAGCTGACACTTCTTATCTATTGTATCCTTTCACTTTGAGTAGTTATACCGATTTATCCTTTAAAAGTAACAATTAAATTAGTTTGCGATTTAAAGAATACGTGATTTAATTTAACACAAATGATGTAAAAACATCCAATAATTAAATTAAAGATAAATAAAAAGATCAAACCCAACGCAATGGAACAATTAAGCCTGAATTTGATTGAACACTGAGATTGGCTCCGATCGAGCCCTCGATCTGGGCTCGGTTGTAACTAAAGAGAAGGAGAACTGAACCACACTTTTGAACAACATCTAGAAAACAAAAATGAACTTTACTGCTTTGATATGTGTGCCAACAATGATTTAAAATAAAAAAGTTCTTTCATTTATACAGTGGCGTAATTTCAATCCTAATATAAGTCTAAATAAGGTAAGAATCTTTTTTTTTCGGCAAATGTCTTTCTGCAGTTGATATCGGACAGGATTTGCACTGTAATATCAGGTTGAGGGCGAATATTCGGCTCCCTGCTCGTCATGCTCAATTGTTTCTCTTTTTCCTTGTCTTGAAAATTTACTTGGTCTGAATCCGTTATTTGGTCGTGCTCGATCCCAGATGCACCGTTCATACCCCCGGGCACCGAAACAATGGACCCTTCGGCTTCGCTCGAGGTTGCGTCAGATCATGCCTTCCTTTCGTTTTCTTACCAAAAAATCGGGGGTAACATTATCCCCGATTTTACCCATACACCGATAATTCCCTCACTTTTTGGAGAGCAGATTTATCGAAGTGGCGAGAAGTGATTCGTTAACCTGGTTCCTTCTTCTGTACGCTACAATCGGGTCGACGGGTCAGTGAAACGTCCCATCAATCGCGTCGTTCTGACTTTGGACACGTGTCAGTAGTCGGTTAACTGTCCTCGAATGCGAAACACCACGCATTAATTACCTTTTCCCTATAAAAGTTTCGGTCCTTTTGCACTTTTTACTTTCCGATTCCAGAACATCTTAATTTATCTTCGAACTTTTCGCTCGCTCTTAACCCTTTAAAACATTCATACATTGTTCTTCATAACCTCATATCTTCATCTTCCCATCCTCAAATCTTCATACTTCATCCTTGAATCTTCAAGTTTGATCTTCAAACCTCCATCCTCGTCTTCAAATCTTTATACCTGCCTTCATACATTCATATTTCCCATAACTCATTGGCGAAGACTTCAAAATCTATGCCCCTATAGATCGTCCCTTCAAGTTATAACCTGGTCATGGATGCTGAGGTGGTCGTACCTGAAATGGCCTCGGAGCCTCCTCTAAAGAATTTCATCCCCGGAGGCTGCTCTATAGAAATAGACGTCAAGGTCGAAAAAGCTTCCAGGAAAGGGGATCGAGACGAAGAGGTCTGGAGGTACATATTCTCCATCACCGAAGACACGCTCTATATGGTTCGGGAGGACTACAAGTGGGAGGGCAAAAAAAGGTCGTCCCTAGTACTGATGAGGACATTACAACACACGTGGAGGGGTATCTAAGTGTTTACATATACCCATTCACACTTGGCCCGGTGGATACCATAGTCCTTGATTTTTGCAAAAGGTACGAGGTCTGCCTCGGGCAAATTCACCCGTTCTTTTAGAGGATAGTGATCCTCCTCCGCCACTTTGTTAATAACACTGAGGCACCCCAATTTACCATCGACCATCTATTCCGTCTCTACAATCCCCGAATCTTTCGGGGGGATTAATCAAGTTCGTTTATCGGGCAAATAAAGCTCTATTCTCTAGCATTGACAACGATAGGGATCGAGGGATGGTAGGGGAGATTCGTTCGGGTGAAAACCGAGGATCTCATCCCCCTCGAGTTCATGTCGTTCCCTGAAAAGTTGAACTTAGCCCATAAGTTCCTCTCCTTTTTGAGTACTTATAATTTCTTTTGGATTTTTGTTCTTCTTTCTTATCGCTTGGTTCTACTATCGTGCAGCGGTTGCCCGAGTCCCCAACACAGTTCCTTGCTTCAAAGAGTGGATCGAGGAGATTTGCAAACAACTATCGTACTTCGAGCACGAATGGCGCAAACTATCAAAGGGCAAGTGGGAGGCNCCCCTCGATCAAGTTTCCTTTCATGTTCAACTATCATTTTCACTAAGTCCTTACCTTCCTGCCACAGGTTTGCCCAAGACCACTGAGCTCCGAGTAGTGGACGAGGACGAGGCTTCGTCCCCACCTGCTAAACCTTTCACTTCGGGACAACTGATCACGTGCAAATGCACGCCTCTAGAAGTATATATTCGGAATAAGCAAGTGAAGTATCTAAGTTGCACTTCCACAAATAGGTTTTCATTTCTACTTCTAAAATTAAGCTAATGATTTCAAATCTAAAGACATAAAACTAAAGATGATTGTTTTTGAGTGTTTTCCAAATATATAAAAAGGCATAGGGTTGTGGTCATGACCTAGATATTTGCCTAATGAGATAAAGACTTTTATGCTCGTTTTATTGACTAGGTGTATTATAGCTCACAACACTACGTTGCTCACTCAATACCTTTCGGACAGAGAGTGGTTTTGTCCAATTTGGCTTTCTTAAGTCCAAATGGGTATCTACCAAAATGGTTGATAAGAGCTCAAGTCGGGTTGCTACTATCTCTAGGTTGAACCCTTTAATAGGGTTAATCATTCTCTCAATTGACCTAATTCCTTGTTAGCTAAGTTAACCTAGACTAGGACCCTCTTTCTCAAGAAGAGACTAAGTCAAATAGGCATGAATCAATGTTGCAACCATTGATTTTACAATTGAAGCATGAAATAAGCTAAATAATAAACACCAATCTCATAAACAAGCATACAATTAATCACCCATAAGGTTTACACACTATGGTTGGGTGACAACCCTAGTAAAAATCTAGCTACTTATTATGGGTGTAGAAGAAAACAAAGAAGAAAAATAATAAAACTCATATTGAAGGATTAAAAATAGAGAAATCCAATGTTAAATCACTAAAATAAGCTAAAGTAGCCTAAAGAACCAAAGAGAAACGGCTACAGTACTTCAAATATCCAAAACTTGACCTAACTTCGTGAAACTCTTCTATTTATACAAGGCTAACAATTTCGGAAAAAATGCCCTTTGGGAGGTTCTGCGGTCGCCCAATTCTATGTGCAGTCCGCACAATTCTTCATCTTATAGGAGGAGGAGTTCTATGACCGCACAATTCTTAACTGCGGCCGCGAGGCAACATTTCTGCGGTCCGCAGATTTAGCACTGCGGCCTCAACTTAGTCTTCTGTGGTCCGCACCTTTACTTTTGCGGTTACAAGGCACTTCTTCTGCGTACATATTACCCTTCCCAGACCCCACTTGTGGGATTATATTGGGTTGTTGTTGTTGTTGTTGTTGTAAAGCACTTCTTCTGCAGCCACACAATTCTTGTACGGTCCATAATTTTGAGGGTCTTTGAACGTGGTAATTTGCACACTCTCTGAAGTTGATCCCAAGCTCATCTTTTGCGGCCGCACAATTCCTGTGAGGTCCGCAGTTTGCTAGAAAGTCTGCTGGGATTCCCTTCATTGTTTGCGGCCGTAGGTGAAATTCTGATGTTAACACTTTGTAAGCTTATGTTCCTTTTATTGTATTGTGTTTAGATTATTCCATTTGAGTCAGATTTCATCTCGGGAGTCCAACTTCCAACACTCCTGCAATTTTGCACATTTCATCAGTTTTGGGAATATAATTCAATGCTTTTAGACTAAAACAAAAGATAAAAGGCGCTAATAAGTACTCAAAATTCCTACTTATCAATAGCTCGAGGTCGTTACAGAGAAGGAGGAGAAAAAAAAAAGAAGAAGTCTTCGGGTTTCCCGGATACGGACACCGAGGCCAAGAAGAAGAGGGTAGTGGTCCGAGTTCGAAAGAGCAACAAGAAGAGTACCCGGTCCAGGGTACTGGACCCGAATCCCTTTACCAGCTCAGGGACTACCCTAAAGATGACGACTTGGAGTTTGTCGCCCATGCTCCAGCCTCTGATGAAGGAGAGCGGGCTACATTTGGGGGAAGTGACCGGGAGGTCGAACCCTCTATGGCTCGGGATCCCGAAGGAAAGCCAATGACTATGACCTCCCGAGAGGCTACTCCTACTCCGAGAGAAGCCGCTGGTGTCATTGACATCGCGGAGTCTCCATCCCACGCATAGTCTTTATTTGACGAGGCATAAGTCATCAAAGATAAACCAAATGAGACATTACGGGTCGCAGAAGAGGCCCTCAACCATTTCTTTG